TTTCATTCTTTTCATGGCTGAGTAGTATTTCACTGTGTGTGTATCACACCTTCTTTAACCATTTATCTGTTGCTGGACACTTACGTTGCTTTCATACCTTGGCAATTGTAAATAACACAGCTGTGAACATTGGGGTCCATGTATATTTTTGAATTTCTGTTTTTTTTCAGATATATACTGAGGAGTGGGATTGCTGGATCATATGGTAAGTCTATTTTTAGTGTTTTGAGAACTCTCCATACTGTTTTCCACAGTGGCTGCACCAAACTACATTCCCACCAACAGTGTACAAGGGTTCCCTTTTCTCCATGTCCTTGCCAACATTTGTTATTTGTGTTCTTTCTGATGATAGCCATTCAGACAGTGTGAATTGGTATCTCATTGTGGTTTTGATTTGCATTTCCATGATTATTAGCAATGTTGAGCATCTTTTCGTGTGTCTGTTGGCCATCTGCATTTCCTCTTTGGAAAAATGGCCATTCGGTTCTTCTGCTAATTTACATCTGTTTGTCTGTTTACCTATACCAGTACAATCTTAGGCAAAATGGAATGGCAGATAAATTTAGTCTTTGCTTTCACTGATTTTTCCTTCTTTACTAAATTCCGCATACAAAAGTGTAAATCAGTTGAAGATAGGATCTTTGTCTTAGCCATTTCTGTATTTTCATTGCTTTAATAGTACTCTCACATTATAGGCATTCAGAGTTTGTTCTGCTGAATTCAATGGAATTGATTGAAATGGAAGGGAATTCAAGATTATCTCTGGTTAAGAATGAGAGTTCTGGATATGGACATAGAGAATCTGAAGGTTAAATTATAGCTCAGTCACTCAGAAACTATGACACAGAGACATTTAGTTTCTTGGCTGATTTTTTAAAATTTCCTTACAGAGTTGCTCTGCAGATTAACTAATGAATGGCATCCTGAATTTCCACTCCTATGATAGAACACATCTCCATAATATGAAGAGGTGCCACTAGTGAGCCAAAAAATTAAAGAATTTCTGGGATATACAAGGCAAATGAGATTAGATCAAAAGCAGAGTAAAAGAATCAGAGCCCCAGTACATACAACACAAGGTGGAGCACATGTCAGCAAGAGGAAAAGAAATTTTCAGACATGCCAAATTCTAAGTAAAAAATATCCTTTTTCCTAAAAGCTCCATCTAATTTACTATCCCGTGAACATTGTCTTTCTAAAGCGAGCCTGTTCTAACCAGAAGGGCCCATGTGTAGGTATTAGGATTCGAGAGAAAAGTAAGCATAGCTGGGCTTTCTAAATAATCAAAAAGAGAACAAAAGGGTTCTACACATGAAATGACTTTACCTTCTTATTTTGGAGATTGGTGGGTGCCTAGTTTATCTGCTACATTACATGCTAGAGCAAAACCTGTCAGTCGGCATGTATGGCAAACTTAACACAAACCACTAATAAAGTCTGCTGCTTATGCTCATCCAGGGGAGGGAAATATTGGGGAAACAGGCCTACACACCTGCAGAGAAAACACCTACCAGGTATCTATTTAGCAGCCTGATTTCCCACTTAAAAACACAACAAGCCATCCCAACCACCTGGCAATTTAGGGAAAGAAAAAAAAACTATTTGGAAAAAAGAGCTAAATATGCAAATAGAGAAACAGACCTAGGGGACATAAAATAGAAATTTAAAAAACTCTAGTCATATTCTCAGAAAGACGTGAATAGTCATTTTCTCTAGGAAATAAGTAGTAAAGAAGCATAACAAAAATGTATTGAGAATGTAAAATAAATTACAAAATACAACTTTATTAGGATAGGTAAACAATAGGATGAATGCAGGTATCTACCTATTTAGTAATCACAGATTTTCGGGGGGATGGGGAGGGGGGACTCAGAGTCCTAGAGAAGAAGGAGACAATGGGAAATAGGAAAACATTAAGAGACATGGAATATTACTCCACCTGGTGGGAGGGCCGAAAGGAGGGAATGAAGCATTTATTAACAATGCGATGAGGGGCGGGTGTAGCTCAAGTGGTAGAGCACAGGCTTAGTTTACAAAAGGTCCTGGGTTCAATCCCAGACCCTCCTCTAAAACTAAATAAGTAAATCTGACTACCTCCCCCCACCAGTAAAAATAAATCAATA